CGGCTCACCACAACCTCCGCCTCCTGGGTTCAGGCAATTCTCCTGCCTCAGCTTCCTGAGTAGCTGGGATTACAGGCACGCACCACCATGCCCAGCTAATTTTTTGTATTTTTAATAGAGACGGGGTTTCACCATGTTGACCAGGATGGTCACGATCTCTTGACCTCGTGATCCACCTGCCTCGGCCTCCCAAAGTGCTGGGATTACAGGCTTGAGCCACCGCGCCCAGCCAGGAAAGTTTTAAGTTATCAACCAATCAGGTTTAGCTTAGACTGTGAGGTCCAGCTCCAACCACTGGAAATAGGACACAGCAGTGAGGACCCGATGCATAAAGGATAAATATTTCTGCCTTTCCTTTGTTCAGTGTGCTTTCATGGCAAGATGCTGATGGATAGCATCCTTTCTACAGAAAGTAAAATTGCCTTGCTGAGAGATTCTTTGTTCCAGTTCTGATTTTTCTTTGCAGCACCAAGCATCTGTTTCCAACATTGCATTATAATATGCATTTCAGGCCGGGCGCGGTGGCTCAAGCCTGTAATCCCAGCACTTTGGGAGGCCTAGGGGGGTGGATCATGAGGTCAAGAGATCGAGACCATCCTGGTCAACATGGTGAAACCCCGTCTCTACTAAAAAAAAATACAAAAAATTAGCTGGGCATGGTGGCGCGTGCCTGTAATCCCAGCGACTCAGGAGGCTGGGGCAGGAGAATTGCCTGAACCCGGGAGGCGGAGGTTGTGGTGAGCCGAGATCGCGCCATTGCACTCCAGCCTGGGTAACAAGCGCGAAACTCCGTCTCAAAAAAATAATAATAAAAATAATAATAATAATATGCATTTCATATCAAAATATCTCATGTAATCCATAAATGTACACACCTACTATATACTCATGATAATTTAAAATGTTAAAAAATTAGCCAGGTATGGTGGCACACACCTATAATCCCAGCTACTTGGGAGGCTGAGGCAGAAGGAATGCTTGATCCAGAGAGGTTGAGGCTGCAGGGAGCCATGATCCCACTACTGCATTCCAGTCTGGGCAACAGAATGAAACCTGCCTCAAAAAAAGAAATTAAATAAAAATTTTCCCACAGAGAAAATCTGGGAGTGGATGGCTCCACTAGTGAGTTCCATCAAGTATTTAAAGAGGAAAGGATAATTCTTCAGAAATTCTTTCAGAAAATAGATGAGCGGGAATACTTTCCAACTTATTCTATGAAACCGGTATTATTCTCATACCAGAGCCAGACAAACATCACAAGGGAAAAACAAATAAAACCACACACCAATATTCCTATGCTGTGTAACACCATAGACATAGACACAAAATTCTTAACAGGCTTGAGAACGTTTTTTTCCTCAAACTGGGTTTTGCAGGTGTTTACCCATATGAAAACTTACCAAATTGTTTAAATACATGCAGCTTATTCTATATCGATTATAACTCATTAAAGCTGTTTAAGAAAAATGTTAGCAACCTGAACCTGGCAACGTACAAATAGGATTTTACAACATGGCCAAATGGAATACATACCAAGAATGTTAGATTGATTCAACACTGAAAAACTGTATAATAAAAGACAAAAACTGTATGAATATTTCAATAGATGCAGCAAAAGGCATTTAGCAAAACCAACATCTATTCATGGCAAAACTCTCAAGAATCTAGGAATAGAAGGGAATTTCCTCAACCTGATAATGGGCATTAAAAAAAACACTAGGCCAGGCATGGTGGCTGACTCCTGTAGTCCCAGCACTTTGGAAGTCTAAGGCTGGCAGATCATGATGTCAGGGGTTCCAGACCAGCCTGGCAAACATGGTGAAACGCCATCTCTACTAAAAATACAAAAATTAGCTGGGTGTGGTGGCATATGCCTGTAATCCCAGCTACTGGGGAGGCTAAGGCAAGAGAATCATTTGAATCTGGGAGGCATAGGTTGCAGTGAGCCAAGATCATGCCACTAGACTCCAGCCTAGGTGACAGAGCAAGACTCCATCTCAAAAAAATTTAAAAAAAAAAAATTTTTTTTTAAATCCTAGCTAACATCCTATAGAATGGTGAAAGACTGAATGTTTTTCCTCTATCACAGGAAACAAGCAAGGATGTCTGCTTTCAACATTTCTGTTCAACGTTGTACTGGATGTTCTAGTTGGTGCAGTCAAGTAAAAGAAAAGAGAAGAAAGTATGCAAATTGGAAAAAAAGTAAAACTGCCTTTAGTCACAGATGACATAATCCCATATATAGAAAATTTCAAGGAATCACCAGGTGCTGTGGCCCATGCCTATAATCCCAACACTTTGGGAGGCTGAGGTGGGTGGATCGCAAGGTCGGGAGATCGAGACATCCTGGCTAACACAGTGAAACTCCATCTCTACTAAAAGTATATAAAATTAGCTGGGGATGTGGCACACACCTGTAGTCCCAGCTACTCGGGAAGCTGAGGCAGGAGAGTCACTTGAGACAGAGGTTGCAGTGAGCTGAGCAACAGAATGAGACTCTGCCTCAAAAAAGTAAAAAAGAAAAGAAAAATTCAAGGAATCAATAATAATAAAACTACTGAAACTAATAAATGATATTAGCATGCTCAAAAATTATATGTCTATATACTAGCAATGAATAATCTTAAAATGAAGTTGAGTAAACAATTTCTTTCACACTATCAAAAAGAATAATAGTAATAAATTTAATAAAAGAAGTAAAAATGTGGCTGGTGCAGTGGCTAACGCCTGTAATCCCAGCACTTTGGGAGGCCGAGGTGGGCGAATCATATGGTCAGGAGATTGAGGCCATCCTGGCCAACATAATGAAACCCCATCTCTACTAAAAATACAAAAATTAAGGGCCAGGCGCGGTGGCTCACACCTGTAATCGCAGCACTTTGGAAGGCTGAGGCAGGTGGATCACGAGGTCAGCAGTTCAAGACCAGCCTGGCCAAGATGGTGAAATCCCATCTCTACTAAAAATACAAAAATCAGCTGGATGTGCTGGCAGGCACCTGCAATCCCAGCTACTCTGGAGGCTGGGACAGAGAATTAATTGCTTGATCCCAGGAGGCAGAGGTTGCACTGAGCCAAAATCATGCCACTGCACTCCAGCCTGGCGACAGAGCAAGAATCTGTCTCAAAAAAAAATAAAATTAGCTGGGTATAGTGGCACATGCCTGTAATCCCAGCTACTCCAGAGGCTGAGGCAGGAGAATCGCTTGAAAGAAGAGGTCAGAGGTTCCAGTGAGTCAAGATCGCGCCACTGCACGCCAGCCTGGTGACAGCGAGAGACTCTGTTTCAAAAAAAAAAAAAAGGAAAAATTTGTATATTGAAAAGAACAAAACATTGCTCAGAGATATTAACAATTATTTTAATATATAAATACATTTCATCTTAATGGATTGAAAGGCTGAATACTATCAATATGGCAGGCAATTCACCCCACATTGATCTATAAATTCAATGCAATTCCTGTCAAAATCCCATCGACTTTTTGGTTAAAAATTGGCAAGCTGAACCTAAAATTTATAATGACCTGCAAAGGACAAAGAATAGCAAAATAATTTTGAAAAAGAATAAAGTTGGAAGACTTTCAGTAGTTGATTTTAAATTTACTATAAAGCCACAATGATCAAGATAATGTGATATTAATTAACACAAGGATAAGTAAATAGATCAAGGGAAAATACTTAAGAATCTATAAGGCCGGGCGCGGTGGCTCAAGCCTGTAATCCCAGCACTTTGGGAGGCCGAGGCGGGTGGATCACGAGGTCAAGAGATCGAGACCATCCTGGTCAACATGGTGAAACCCCACCTCTACTAAAAATACAAAAATTCAGCTGGGCATGGTGGCGTGTGCCTGTAATCCCAGCTACTCAGGAGGCTGAGGCAGGAGAATTGCCTGAACCCAGGAGGCAGAGGTTGCGGTGAGCCGAGATGGCACCATTGCACTCCAGCCTGGGTAACGAGTGAAACTCCGTCTCAAAAAAAAAAAAAAAAAGAATCTATAAATACATTCTAACATTTATGGACAATTAATTTTTGACACATTTACCAAGATAATTCAATGATGAATTGAATTATCACTTCTTTGTCTTTAAGAAGTGATTCTGAGCAAATGGATGCCTACACGCCAAAGGAGAAGAAGACTTGCCTTACACATCATACATGAAAATTAGCTCAAAATGGGTCATAGAGCTAAAACTATAATACAATAGAAAACTGCTGTAAATTTGGGTTGGGGTAAAGAGATTCCAGATAGAACAACAAAAGCATGATCCATGAAATAAAAATATTGATAAATTGAACTTTGTCAACAAATAAAAACTTTTCTGTTTCAAAAGACAGTATGAAGAAAATGAGAAGACAAGCCACAGTCCAAAAGAAAATATTTGCAAATCATTTATCTGATACAGGACTTGTATTCAGAACACTTATGACTCAAGAATAAGACAAGCAACACAATTTTGCAAATGAGCAAAAGATCTGAATATATACATTTCACCAAAGAAGATCTAGAAAAGGCTAATAAACACATACAAAGATGGTCAATATCATTATTCATTAAGGAACAGCAAAGTTAACCACAATGAGATACCAGTAAAAACTCATTAGAATGGCTGTAATAAGAAAAACAGACAATACCTAGTATAGGCAAGTATGTGGAGAAACTTGGGCCTTCATGCATTGCTAGTGAGATGTAAAATGGCAGCCACTTTGGAAAACAGTTTGGCCATTATTTAAAAAGTTAACCATAAACTTACCACATGACTCTGCAGTTCTACTCCTAGGTATCTATGGAGTTTTTGTCTATATAAAGTCATTTATGACAATGTTTATAGCAATATTATTTAAAAAGCCAGAAACTGAAAACAACCCAAAATCTCATCAACTGGTGACTGGATAAACAAAAGTGAAAACAAATATCCATTAAATGATGCATGAATATATAAAGGTGGTATTGCCATACAGTGGAATACCATTCAGCATTTAAAAGAGGGCAAAAGTGCTGATGCATGCTACATGAATAAACCTCAAAAACATGATGTCAGGAAGCCAGACACGAAAGTCATCACGTGTATGAATTCATGGATATAAAATGTCTAGAAAATGCAAATTTGTAGAGCAAAAAAATCACATCAGTGTTGCCTAAGGATAGGAGTAGGAGCTGGGATTAACTGTAAATGGGAATAAAGAACTTTGGGGAGGTAATGAAAATGTTCTAGGGCTGCATTGTGGTGATGGTAGTACAATGCTATGAATTTACTAATGTCATTGAATTGAATACTTACATTTGATAAATTTTGTGGAATGTCAATTGTGTTTCAATAAAACTATTTTTTAAAGCCACTGAGTTTGACGGTTGGAAGTAAGAGAGATAAAAGCAGAAATAAATGAGGTTGAAAGCAGAACAACAGTAGAACTAATAAAAACATTTGTTTTTGAAGAACATTAACAAAATAAAAAACAACTAGGTATTCTAATCCAGCAAAAAGAAAATGCAAGCCCTGTTTAATAAATAGTGTTGAGAAAATTAGCTAGTCATGGACAATTAAGTCATGTGCAGGTCATGTGCAGAAAGTCATGTGCAGGAAGCTGAAACTGGACCCCTTCCTTACACCTTATACAAAAATTAACTCCAGATGGATTGAAGATTTAAACATAAGAACTAACACCATAAAAACCCTAGAAGAAAACCTAAGCAACACCATTCAGGACATATGCATAGGCAAGGGCTTCATGACTAAAACACCAAAAGCAATGGCAGCAAAAGCGAAAATAGACAAATGGGATCTAATTAAACTTAAGAGCTTCTTGTGCACAGCAAAAGAAACAATCATTAGAGTGGAACGGCTACTAACAGAATGGGAAAAAATTTTTGCAAATTACCCATCTGACAAAGGGCTAATATCCAGAATCTACAAAGAACTAAAGCAGATGTACAAGAAAAAAAAACAAACCCATTCAAAAATGGGCAAAGGATATGAAGACACTTTTCATAAGAAGACATTTATGCTGCCAACAAA